TGAACTTTTCTAAAGAATAAGCAAAGATTCGGCAAAAATACTTTGTTGCCTGACTTAAAAGTTGGTATTGTTTTTGTCACGCCAAATTTTTTTTTTTTTAAATGATATTGACATATTTGTTACTAAATAGAGAGTTTTTGTAGACCTTTTTCGGTTTCCCGCTCCGCTCTATGGAAAGCGGAGTGGCCATCGCGCATGCGCGACCCGCTCTGGGATTTGAGCATGGAGCGTCAGCTCCGCTATCGTCGCCATTTTAAGAAGTACGTTCCACTCTCAGTAAAGGTTCACTAGATGCTGCTTTTCTGGAAAGGTGGGTGCTCGCTATTTGAAATCATGCTTGGGAGCGCGCTTGACCCTTATGAAGCTCGCTGCACTTAGACGCTGCGATGACTTTGTTTGAAAGGCGTCCCCCAGAAAACGTTTCACGGTGGTCAAGAACCTCTGGCTGCTTCGAGAAATCGCTGGCCGCAATCCTTTCGCGGCCCCTGAACGGTGGGAACAGGTGCTGCCTTGTCTAAGCCAGCGGGCTCGATTTTTCTATGCGAGATGACGACGACGACGTTGAGAGGATGACACACCGGGCGTCGGCGGTGTCTCAATCTGAGCCCTGGGCCTCGGTTCCTCGGAGGCGGCAGCTTCTACTTCGGCTGGACTACCTCCTTGGGGCATGATTCTTCGACCCCAGTGGACCCCAGTGAGCAATAGCGCCATTATGTTCCTGGTGCTCCTTCATGCACTGATCGAACGGCGTGCAAGATCCTCTTAGCTCGCTGCTCACCCGCCCAACCCGCCTCCACGAAGTCTGGACTTCTGCGAATCGGACTGCCACCCTCCCCAATACCAACAACCCACGTCGTCGTCATCTTGCACGTATATACTCATCACATTACCATGTTCCCTAGACGCGGCACCGCGGGCCTCTGTGGTACGGGCTGCTGCTTTCCGCGGTGCCGGGGCTCTCCAGAGCCAAAAATTAAAGGTTAAAGACCAAAGATTAAAGCAGTCGGCAAACGGACAGTTATTTTGTTTGGTTACTTCAGGCAGCAAGACAGTGAAAATTAGCGAAAGCGAGTGCTCCATTTATATCTCTACTTTTTTTTTTCCCCAATGAAATGAGTCTTTTCTTCTTCGTATGCTTCGGTTTGTGATATGGTGCCTTGTTGTTTATGTACACTGCGCGACACTGTTAGCGGGAGCATTCAATATCCTGTTTTCATTTTTTTACCTTAAATTCGAGGGGCTGACATTTGCCTATTGGTGTGGAATAAAGCGCTCGTTTAGAGCACTAATCTGAGCGACAAATTTTCAGCTTTTTCAATAGCTGTCAAAGAAATAAACTGGAAATAAAAGCGATTTTTTTCGTGTTCGTATTAACAGTGGAGCGCAGTGTATCTATCTGCCTTGGGGGGTGACATGATACCATTTTGCTTGACTATACACTTTTCTTAATTTCTTTTGTGTGTTTATGAAAGTGCGTTTTTCAGCTTAAGCTCCTGCCCAGTTTCTGCCTCACTTGTGCTACGGTCTTTCCTTGCAATAGAAGGCCACGCAACATAGTCTACTCTTACCATGCTGAATTCAACAGTAACACTGTAATTTGGTTAGATGCAATATTCACACGCACATCTGAGAAGTAAAATGGGAGTCGTTAGTAAACATTTTTTATTAAAATATTTCTAGATGCCTTTCAGCCCAGTTGGACAGGTATTTCGCTCAGTACAAAAGCTTGAACATGATTTACTGTGATAATTTTATGCATTTTAATATTAAACAAACAAGAAAATGCCCATGGTCTTTGTAGGTTTCGTCCAGCCGTCAAATTATGCCGTCTGCGCACATCACTGCCTGGTGCTTCACGACGAGCACCCTCTTGTGGTCTTCTTCTAATTTTTTTGATGGACGGCATATGGGCATGCTGTGCGGTCAACAAAACCCCAACAGTTGTTCAGGGGTGTTCCCTTGTCCTTGACGGCCTAATAAAAAAGACAAAGAAAAACACTCTTACAACACGGCAGTATTTAAACACTACCAAAACATGTGATATGGGACTTGTTACTCCTCTAAGATAAAGCGTATTTCCATTGTAAGGTTGTAGAAAACTGGATATCGTAAATTAATATATATATATATATATATAGTTGTTCCTTAATTCTGCTAAGGTTTGAGGCCGTCAAACTGTGCATGCGAGGCCCGCTACGCCGGAATTCAAAACAAAACTTCTGAAAACTGTTCTAATCTACCACTATTGCTTAGAAGTCCAGGGTTGTGTTTGCTAAATTTTGCATTGTTTATGCCTGTCTGGTTTTCACCAGACAAAAAATTGACGTGGAATATTCTTTCGACCGTTATGGTAACTCTTCTCAAAACACCACCGGGTAACATATTCGGCCGCCATATTTTGGGCATCGCTTTTAGTGCGAGACTTGTGACTAGAACCCATTTCATATTCAGTATTGACGCAGCATTCGTGTCTAATACATTTAGACTCGCATTCGCGACAAACAATGACGTAGCTCTCTTGCTCCCTAGACACTTGGCCAAAATAAGGCGGCCTCGAAGACTAGCGGCACAATGGGTTGCACTTTTAAAAAGGCTGCATTCAAGTTTCTATTATTTTCTAAATCTACCAAGGAAATCCAATGCAAACATTTCCTGAGGAAAGTTAAACAATTCAAAAGTTGCGAGCGAGTGTGAATAAATAAAGCTGAGATGAATGGTTTCTTTGGTGCAGCTTGCGAGCGCTATGCTCGTGGTCAGCTTTCAGTGGCATTTTCGGCAGGAGGGCGCATGCACAGATATAATTGGCGTTCAAGCACGCGCACCCGTACATCTGACTGCATAGCCATAGGACGTCCACAAAACGCGACGACTTTACCGACGCCGTGCTGGTTGCAAAGTGATACTCGTTCACTTCGTTTGATTATGCTGTTTTGTGTTACATAGAACTCAAATCGAATGGTTTACTTTTTACGCGCGGGGCGTACGCTTTACTTCTTGATTCGACCTCTTTCAAGCTCAGGTCACGGTCAAAAACATTGACGCGTGTTGAGTAAGTGCAGCCATCTTGAGATCCAAGCGATCACGCTAAGGACGCTGAGGGCAGTCCGCTCTACAACTTGTGAAGCGGAGCGCACGCTCACTCCGCTAACTATACGCTCCAACTCAGAGCGGGCCACGCATGCGCAGTGGGGACGATGCTTCTCGCAGAGCGTAAAGTAGAGCAAAGGGGGCTCATAAAAGTGGCCTACTAATACTCACAGATTACGAACGCGCTCGTCGTGACTTGGCCTGACACTGCCCATGTACACCTTTGGCGTATAGAAAAAAGTAACTTTTCACCAGACAGAGCAGCTGTGTTAGAAAAAATGGAAACGCGAAATTTACACAAACCATGCAGGGTCTCACCTGTGAGCACAGCTCTAGTTTCGCCAGGGTCAACCACCTATGTTTGTTCATGTCAGCAAGCAGGTGGCCGAACCTCTCGTTGATGTGACCCACAATGAGGTTCACAGGACTGAAGAACACCGACAAGTTCCGTCCAAACGCTCATCCAAGTACGAACAGACGGTTGGGATAGGCCAGTCGAGGAAGAACCATGCAAAGCGTCTCGCCAGATTGGCAACACCCTGCGCCGATCTGTCGGGTGCTGGTATTTGGAGGCCCGCATGCAGAACAGCCAGATCCTTCTTTAAGCAGGATAGCTTCCTAAAGGGTTTCTTTTCTACGTTCGAAATATCCAGCAAACCGCGTTCGGAAAGGAAGCTTCGGGGCTTGATGGCACAAGGGATACGAATTATAGATTCAATGTCTCGCCAGCTTAATCTCGTTAGTAGAAGTCTCCTTCCTTGAGAACAGCGGGGATTCATCGTGCAGATGCCTTGCTAGCCTTGAGCAACATTGTACTCGTACTACGCAAAAGGATGTACTCGCAATGCGCAAACCTCATCCTTTTCTCTTATTTTTCTACTTCGAATAAGTAAATCTGTTTCAGTTTTAATTCGAGTGGAGCAGAAGCTACAACAGCGAGTGCTGGCCTTTCAGCGTCCTTGATAAGCATGCGCGCTCGTGCAGTGCAAGTACCGTTTTGAGCAACATGCTCATGCTTATACCTTCGGCTTCACTCGCACACAAGGTGGAATGATTATATTTATATTTTATAGCTTAATATTTCTTCAGGTGTGTGCCTACTCTTTTGTGTTCATTATTGTCGCCTTCGTTTTTACTACCTCTACAATCACGCTCCCTTTCACTCTCTTGGTGTTAACGCTTAGGTTTTTTTGTCTTACTAGTACTATAAACGTCCACTTGTGGGGCTACGCAAGCAAATTTTTCGAACCCGCTCAAAACGCTCTTACCCTGAAGAAAAACGCTCTACTAAAACGCGTTTTTGGACCTCCGCTTTCCATTCCGGCGAAGCGGGCTGCGCATGCGCAGTTTGGCACCCTCAGAGCGGAGCGGAAGATGAAAACTGTCTACTAAAACTCTCTAATAAGGCAATATTCTACAAGATAATTGTATCAATGTCATTTTTGTGCATTTACTAGGAAGTATGCAGTGACGTTTTGCAGAAGTGGTGGGTCAACAAGGTCGGGTAGTAGCGCACACAGTCACGATTCACTTGTTTCGGTTCCGAGACCTCATCAGCGCAAGCCAGCATTGGTTCAAGCCTACAAGTGTGTGCAGTGTTAAAATAAAGGCGGTAACACCGGTAACACTGCCCTCTTACTTTTTCTGCGAGTCACCGTTTCGTGCGCAAAAATGAATGGCAATGGGCTGCTGAGGCTTCACAAGAACAGGTTACAATATTATTGTAAATATGCACGTTTTTCAATTTGAGTCACTTGGTGCCAGCTTGGCATAAAAGTGTGGGTCCCATATTCGCAACATCTGGTTTTTAACTTTGGAAATTCCGGTTTCTGACGTTAGGACACACGCGGACGTGTAGGAAGATGAGGAGAGTTAGGAATGTTGGATATGCCACGCAAGCAAACGATGCCGCTGCTTGGGTTCCCGGCGATTCAGGCTCTTGGGGTCGTGAAGTTTGTGGACCACATCCCAGAGTTTCCTCTGCTCCAGGTCAGGGTGGATGTTCTATCCAAGCTGTTTCATGATTGGGGGAGCTCTGTTTGAATCCATCTGCGGTCAGATGCGCTGTCCCTGACTCGACTGTATAAGTCAGCGATGTTATTGTAGTCTTCTGTTGCTTGTTTTCAGCGATTTTCTCCTCCAATAGTTTTTGCAGAGTTTCATCCAGTGCCTCAGACGGTACGCAATCGCTCTGCCCCATGTCATCCGCTTGAGCACAGGCATTAGCTGCAAGACCAATGGTCATGTTTCGTTGCCTCAGCAAAAAATTAGGCTTATCGCGTGTTTTAAGTTTTTTGTACGGGCTTTCCACAGCTGTGCACAATGATCGCAACCGCTTCTCTATCTGTTAGTCTACATTATGCAGAGAAATGTTACAAGGACAATGCCTTTGGAGTGTTTCTACGTAAGAATTCTCTAGCAACTCCTTTTCGTGTTGAACTTGCCTAACAAGCGTGTTAGTTAGCATAATACTCATGAAACCTCCTTCTAGCTTTACGCCGACACCGCATTCGCTTGTCTCCGCCATTATAGCACCGTGGTCACACCTTTCGCTAGAAAGTAAATGTGCAAGTATTCCTGTGAAAACCCGTTCACAAATGCTCCGGAAGCCCTCGGGCGACGGAGACTGCCTTTGATCCTCAAGGGAAATTGAATTTCCACTCCACCACCCAATTTGGTGTCTCGAACGTACAACCGGCTCGGTAGTCTCAGGCGTTCGAAATCAGCTTCATGATACAAAAGCCATCCTCCGTCTATCTTTGCGCCCTTTCCATGAAGAACCCAGCGGAAAAGGTCCAGATATATTCTACCCTTACAGGGCCGTTACACCTTTCAATGTTGGAGAGTCTTCTGCACCTCAAAAGGTAGCTTGTCTGTTGCGGCGTCCAGGTGGCACTGCGTGGGTTGGCTGGAGTTGACCAACTCCACAAGGCAAGCCGCATTGAGGTGGCTCTGAGGCTCCAGTGTGGATTTCCATTTCGGTAGGCTTTTCCTTTGGACGAGGAAACCGTTGCTCTGGAACATATAAAACATTAGGTAAAGTAATCTGCAGTTCTTATTTAGTTAGCATAGAAGCGAAAAAAACTGAAGAATAAAATAGAAAAATGAAATTATATGTATGCTCCATTTCATTAGTTCTGGTAGCTTCGTGTGGTACATTTGAAATATTTATATCTTTTTCTGAAGACTTTCTTTGCAGTGTTTGGTAACATAATGAAAAGAAAAAGAAAAATTTCACACGGGTGGCAGTAAGTAAAGTTTAGATAATTTATTTGCTCATTGAAGCAGAAATATTGAAAAGTTTTCAAACAAACTAAGCAGAGCTAGGACAACTCATACCTGTTGCAGAGCATAGCAAAAATAATGTTTCCCTTAATATCTAAATACATGCATGGATGCACTGGTTCTCGAAGCTCATACAGGCTCTTCGTGGACTGCTCTTAGGGAGTTTTAGGTGACTCGCACCTCCGAAGTGAATCGCGACATAGATGGACGACATGACGTACGCCTTGGGGTTATCGCCAACATCAGTTGCTGACAAATTATGATCTGCTCTTGCATACTTGTTGCCTATCTTTAGAGCCTTTGAATCACGTTTTGAAGGATGCTGGTACTGGGTGCTGTGCACAGTGTGTCCGAAAACCTGCGCCCTGTGGTACTCTACGACCTTTGCGACGCTTCCCGAAGTCAGCTCTTCAACAAGTCCGGAAACGTGCTCATGAGTCTGTCTTGGCTTTCCAAGAAGCTGCAGCTCACTTTGTTTTTGTTTGTTCCCAGAGATTGACTCTTGGACCTCATCCGAAGCCATGCTCTTTAACTTAAACAGTTTCGCATCAAAGTGCGGGACACAATCTGAATGGCTACTCCATTCGAGGATGAAACCAATTTAAGGAGATGGCCCATATTTGCCTTTTAGGCAGAACATGAGAGCGCCCATAGTGGTCCATGAAGCAGAACTGCCTTGGGAAGGTGCAGGAGTGTGTGCGCGTTTGAGGGGATTTGGGCTGAACCATATGGGTATTCGGTCATGACGACAAACTCTGTCAGCTTTGACGTGCTGACGTCCACATCCTCTGTGGTTATATCTGTTTTATGCAGCAGATACAACGCTGAGACAAACAGGTCAAAATGCTGAAAATGCTGTTCTGGCAGTATGTTCATCAAACACGGCTGGCAGTAATAAAACACCCAGCACTGCCATTCAGCTGCCTTCCAGTATTTCTTCAGCTTCAGGGCCTGCGGTGGTCGGTTAATGCATTGCGGTGGCTTCAGGCCACATGACCGTTCATTTACGACTGCTTGCCGCGTCGGATCATGAATGTACCGTATTTACTCAAATGTAATGCGAGTTTTTTTTCAAATTTCCCTTACCTAATTTGGGGGTTCGCGTTATAATCGAAACGCCTGAAAATTTGCCTTGGCGGTGTCGCAGCACAGGCTCTTTAAAATGGCTACGACAAACCTCGCGATCTTTCAATCTTGTGCTGGCAACATACACACGCTGGAAACAGCCAATCCAATCCTATTCTTGTTTGCGACTCGTTGCGCCCATGTTAGGGTTACGGGTTACCTTCACAACGCTTTCTCTTTCTGTTAGGGTTACCGTACCCATGTGCCTGTGTTGTCCGTGTTTTGTGAGCTTCTGCTACGTGCTTCCGCGACTGGACTCGAGCAAATGGCGGCGCGACGAGCTCAGTACGACGCCCGCTTTAAAAGAAGTGCAATTATAATGGCTGAGGAAATCGGAAACTCTGCCGCGGCTCGTCGGGTAGATGTGACAGAATCGACTATCCGTGGGTGGAGGCTCCAGCGTGAAGTGCTCTTCAAGAGTAAACCCGACCGAAAAGGCTTCCGCGGACCATATTATAGTACTTTTTAAGGTACTTTTTTCCCCTCACTTAACTCGCGTTACATTCGAGTTCTTTTTTTTTTTCTTTTTGCACTGTGAAAAGTCATCCCTCACGTTAAATCGTGGTCGCGTTACATTCGAGTAAATACGGTAGTAATCTTCACCAACAGCGGAAAACCACAGCTCAGCAAACTGGCGAGCAACACCAAGCAATGCACAGTGCATGTGTCTGGATTGAAACTTTGAACGATGTTAAACCCAGGTACATTAAGGAGGGGTGAGGCAGGGCCTTTTGACCCCACGGACGGTGCTCTGTGTTGCTGCTGCAGCTGACGTCACTCAACATTCCCAGCTTGGCATGGTCTTCCATGACGCCTGCACTGACAGCATACTTTACGCAGCCTGCAAAAAGAGTGAATAGCATTATTAGTCACTTCATGTTACAACTCCAAAGTTACATTATTTTACCATTTATGCAAACTCCGGGGTGAAGGCATCACGAGCAGCCATATTAACCTTTGGATTGAAGGACGTTTTGCATGACAGCCCTTGCAGGAGCGACTGCCACGCAGCTGATACAATACACCTAAGGAAAATTACCAACACTATTACCACTAAATACTACTGCCTTAAAATATAAGTGCACAGAAATACCTGAAACTCATATGTGACTTGCAGCATTGTTTTAATTATAGGATCGCCGTTTCTGGTATGAACTGAAAAAAGTATGCACAACGGCAGCTTATTGCCAGTTCGAGTGTAAATGTTCCGGTGGAGATGGATTGCTTCGAGGGGAGTACACCTTGCGAGCACAGAGTAACTCATTCATAACGTGATAAACATTGTATGAACTAATTCTTATATTATTTAAGTTATTATTAACATAACAATTTATGCTCGAAAAACCAAACGAAAAACGGATAGGCATATGCGGACAGGTCAGTCAGGTCAGTCAGGTCAGTCATACTCTCGAAACCGCTCGAAATCAGTAAACGAAAGCCCCTATCTGTACTAAATCCTAAGAGCGTTTCAAAAAACTCAAACAAACGTTGAATATTGCCGTCGGGCGGTCGATAAATTACAGAAATAAGTGTATCTTTTGTCAGTACAGATAACACTTCGTAATCTTTGGTGACAACGCAAAAGTTAGATAACAGCTCACATTTCATTTTTTTTTTCAATTAGGGCACACACGCCTCCCCTTTGACTGGAAGTACGATTCAGACAATAACTCTCATAGGATGGCAATTGAAATGCGTCATTTTCACTAGTATACCAGGTTTCTGTTAGGAGAATTTCATTGAAAGGAATTTCGAACTGGCCAAAGAGGCTTTCAAGAACGATTATCTTGTTTTTGGCTGACCTTACATTCAAGTGGACAGCCCTTATCGAAAGCTTGGTTTCATGTTCGAGGCGCTCGATAATATCAGTGACATGCAGATAGGGTGAATCTAACATTTCAAGCGTGAGGTGCCAGCGAAAAGCGTCTAGCTCAGTTTAAGTAAATCATCTTCATTCTTTATGATAACCGCGCGCTCACCATCTTTTCTACCAGCAAAAAGTTTTCTGTTACGGTGCCAGACGTACGAAAACCCTTTTGTCTCGCCCATTCCTTCATTTTTACCAGCAGTTCCCTATTAAACTTATACAGGTTCTCATTTATGTAAATGCTAGCACCCGTGGTTCTCAGTTTAGCCTTTTTATCCAGCCAGACGCCCCGTCTTGCTTGCGATGTAAACCTGACAATGATCCCAGGGATTTTCTCAGGTCTGGATGGCAGTCTGTGGACGGCGGCTACTTCGTGTATAGTAAGCTCAGGCACATCCAATACCCTAGCAAGCTCATTAACCTTGCTGAGCAAATTTTTTCCTTCAGTTTTTGGGATGCCATGAAATTCCGAATTACATCTCTTACTTCTCCATTCAAGATCATTTATTTCCTGCTTAAGTTGTCCGATTTCACTCTGTTTTTCACTTCCCTCTATTGCGTCAACTCGTTTTTTTAAATCCTTGATTTCATAGTCCTACTTGGCAATATGACTTAGAACTTGGTCGTACTTGTCAGACATTAGCTGAATCGACGCTTCAATGCCGCCCACAGTCTCTTTTAAGGTCAGTAGGTCATCCAATTTCCTGTTCATGTTTGCTAGCATAGCAGACATATCATCCTCTTGATTTTGTTTGCTATATGCGCCGCCTTTCAGCTTCACAGCTCGGCAAGTTGCACATTTCCACGTCTTGCGGTACAATTCGCCCTTCGTTTTAAGCGTAGCTTCAGACACACCCGCGCATGATCCACAGTGATACGAGTACCCACATTCAGCGCATGAGAGCGAAAGTTTCTCAGTGGTAATTTATTCTTGGTACTTTATACACAATGGGTCAGCCATTTATGCATACACTACGACAAAAGAAACGCTAAGTAGCAGCAGCGTCAGCGGTAAACGTGAAATGCAGGAAATCGGCTCCACTACAAAACAGATTCCACTGACCTGTGATGTAGAAGCAGAGCGTTAGCCTCCGAGCACCTCGCTGACGCCGCTGCCAAAAGAAGTGGCTGAACGCTGAGGGAGGCTGCTTTTCAGCACTCCGACGATCGTAGCGGTGGCGTTGATGGCTTCCGTCCACCGATGACTAGGATCTTGATGCGGCACGTGGCTGTTTGCCCCAAAAGATGACGCTGCGTTGTTTGAAGGGTAGAACAGGATCGAAGAAATATTTGTGATGTAGAAGCAGAGAGTTAGCCCCCGAGCACCTCGCTGACGCCGCTGCCAAAAGAAGTGGCTGAACGCTGAGGGAGGCTGCTTTTCAGCACTCCGACGATCGTAGCGGTGGCGTTGATGGCTTCCGTCCACCGATGACTAGGATCTTGATGCGGCACGTGGCTGTTTGCCCCAAAAGATGACGCTGCGTTGTTTGAAGGGTAGAACAGGATCGAAGAGATATCTGTGATGTAGAAGCAGAGAGTTAGCCCCCGAGCACCACGTTGACGCCGCTGCCAAAGGAAGTGAAAGAAAAGATGTAAACCTGACAATGATCCCAGAGACTTTCTCAGGTCTGGATGGCAGTCTGTGGACGGCGGCTACTTCGTGTATAGTAAGCTAAGGCACATCCAATACCCTAGCAAGCTCGTTAACCTTGCTGAGCAAATTTTCCCCTTCAGTTTTTGGGATGCCATGAAATTCCAAGTTACATCTCCTACTTCTCCATTCAAGATCATTTATTTCCTGCTTAAGTTGTCCGATTTCACTCTGTTTTTCACTTTCCTCTATTGCGTCAACTAGTTTCTATAAATCCTTAATTTCATGGTCCTGCTTGGCAATATGACTTAGAATTTCGTCGTACTTGTCGGACATAAGCTGAATCGACGCTTCAATGCCGCCCAGTCTCTTTTAAGGTCAATAAGTCATCCCATTTCCTGTTCATGTTTGCTAGCATAGCAGACATATCACCCTCTTGCTTTTGTTTGCTACATGCGCCGCCTTTCAGCTTCACAGTTCGGCAAGTTTCACAGTTCCACGTCATGTGGTACAATTCGCCCTTACGTTTTAAGCGTAGCTTCAGACACGCTCGTGCATGATCCCCTGTGATAGGAGTACCCACATTCAGCGCATGAGAGCGAAGGTTTCTCAGTGGTAATTTATTCTTGGTACTTTATACACAATGGGTCAGCCATTTATGCATACACTACGACAAAAGAAACGCTAAGTAGCAGCAGCGTCAGCGGTAAACGTGAAATGCAGGAAATCGGCTCCACTACAAAACAGATTCCACTGACCTGTGATGTAGAAGCAGAGCGTTAGCCCCCGAGCACCTCGCTGACGCCGCTGCCAAAAGAAGTGGCTGAACGCTGAGGGAGGCTGCTTTTCAGCACTCCGACGATCGTAGCAGTGACGTTGATGGCTTCCGTCCACCGATGACTAGGATCTTGATGCGGCACGTGACTGTTTGACCCAGAAGATGACGCTGCGTTGTTTGAAGGGCAGAACAAGATCGAAGAAATATCTGTGATGTAGAAGCAGAGCGTTAGCCCCCGAGCACCTCGCTGACGCCGCTGCCAAAAGAAGTGGCTGAACGCTGAGGGAGGCTGCTTTTCCCGCCTTTCGGTGCTTTGCCTGCCTAGACAGTTTTATTCAGTGTATTGAAAGTGAAAACTGGTCTGATGTTCCCAGTGATACAGAACCCGACGATGCGTATAATACATTTTTGGACAGGTTTAAAGTTGCATATGCAAGCAATTTTCCCTATAGGGCCTTTAAAACATCAAAGAGAATTCGAAATATATGCCTTGCATCGATGGAGCCAGAACCGGAGCCAGATGCCGAATCTGGCAGTTCAGAGTCGGACTCTGGGTCGTGGGTCGAGCTCGGACGGTTCTGAGCCGGGCTCGGCGGGGTTCCAGCCAGAAGGTGGCGGGCAGGCTCCTGCCCACTTTCTGGTGCGCCTGTCGGATAGGGGGAAGGCTCTGAGGCTAGGCCTTGTGTCTCAGTTCGAGACCTGCCAAAGCCGTGCCGTCGCGGGGCCCTCTGCAGGCCGCTCTGGCAGTTCCTTGCGCCAGCAGCGGTGGCGCCACCAAAGAGTCTGTCGTCGATCTAACCTCTTTAACAGTCCTGCCGTCCAGGGAGGCCATCGACGACAGGGAGCCCCTCGTCGTCATCGTCGCCACCATGCCGGCAGCTCCGCAAAGACTGAGGTGGTGTGACACCCAAGACCCTCGTCAGCACCCTTGGTGCCAAGGGAGCTCCCCATAGAAGTGCGTAAAACTATTTCCGGTCCACAGGCAGAACGGTTCATGAACTGCGCAGTCTTTCGAGCTCCTGCTCCTCACAGTTTTTAGTACAGCCAGCGGCGTAGACTTTCCATTGTCCCGGGGTGGGCAGGCTGAGAAGTTCCCCCCGGGGGGGGGGGGGGGGGGGGGGGGTGCTGCGCGCTATTTTTTCGCCAGAACTAGAGAGTGAAGCTAACGAAAGCACGCTGGAATTTTATTTTTCATGTATTTTGTCAAATAGAGGCAACGTGGTGTTGTTTTGTTGACATGCCACTACTAGAAGCTCGTTACATGGCACGTAAGCAGCGTCTCAGTAAGGATCATGGCCCGTGCCTGGAAGGGGGGGGGGGTGCTGTGCCCCCCCCCCCCCTTTTTGGATTTGACCAGAAGGGCACGAGCCCCGATGCCCCCCCCCCCCCCCCCCGAAGTCTATGCCTATGAGTACAGCCATTGTGCTACCCTCGCAGAAGGATGGTGTCTTCCGATATATGTAATTGGGGATTTTAAGTGTGTCACGGTTGTTCCCAAGGTGTACCTCTCCATAGGCTAACCCTTTATTTTACAACAAAAATGAGGTAATGAGTATCCTGTGTCCATGATCGTGTTTGGTTAGTTGAGTTCATGGGCAAACACAGACAGTTCGCGTCTTTTTTCCCGCAGCAAACTGTTATTTTATGTCATATATTTCCTTCTGTGCTATTGGATATTGGCTTGTGTAACACGTATGACCAAGTAACCTGGGATCAAATCATTTTG